CTTGCTCAGGAGTTGTTGTGTTCAATTCTGGTTCATTGTTGTCAATGTTGTCTCTGGGTCTCTTTGAGGACTGATGCTCCTCTGAAGATTGGACATCTGCTGTTTGTCTTTGAAGCCTGCCAATTCTAGAAGTTGATCTTTTCCAAACTCTAGTCTTAGATAGCTGAGAGCCCGGGATAGCAACTTGCAGGTGGTTTTCGATCTCCATGTCCTTAGAGGGTAAAGTGAGAGCAGGTTGGGTGAGGTTATTGTTTAATCTTAAATGAGCAGGAGAAGTGCTTTCAGGTTGTTGGTCCATAGGTTCAGGGAAGGAGAGGTTAGTGTGGGAGGTAGATGCTTCTGAAACAGGTAGGATTTTGTTTGATGGTGAGTCTTGTATAGAAAGAATTTTGTTACTATCTGCTCCTAGGCTGTTATCAGTATTGGCTGGTGTATCTGATTGAGAGGGAATTTCAGGATTTTCAGATCGAGAAGGACTTTGAGAATTTGAGATGTTGATACCTGACCAATGCTGATTTTCTGCTGCTCTCATCCAAGCCCCATATTGCCCCTCATGTAGAGATTGAGAGCGGATATCATCAATTCTTCTAGCACATGCTCTGTCCAAGTGACCAATGAGTCCACAGTAATGGCAATGATTGACTAACTTTTCGTACTTGAATCCTACACTCACAGTGTCCTCTGAGAACCTGAGGTTAGCACATCTAGGCAATGGCTCTGAAAGATCCACTGAGACTAAGAGGCGCATAATTCTCCCCCCATGACTCCCTGATCCAACTATCACCACATTGTGAACTTGTTTAAACACTCTTCCGATTTTTAATCCCACTTCTGTGCTGAGCCAGTCGAGGGGGATATTGAAAACTTGAACCCATAACTGCAGTTCTAGGAATGTAGGATGATTAGGAGAAAGACCTTTTATCCATTCAGCCAAAATAAGATACTGGTTTTCGTATATCCAGTGAATTCCTTTCTTGACTTTCTCTTTGTCGTCTTTGCTCTGGAATAAAAATTGATAATAGTTCGGCCCGAGTTCTTTAACCTCCAATGGTTGAGTGAGCCTCCAGATGTGATTCATGGCTCTTTTGACTCCAATCCAGCTGGTCCTTCTGTCTCCTATTATTTTACCGAATAAGCTTCTTTGACATTCCTCGGCACTAAATTTAATGTCTTCGGAGCCTATGTCGATGAAGGTTAACTATATGCTCAAATTCGCTCATCATTAATTACTTTCTATTAATGGCAAATTTTTTTATTTTTAATTTAAGAACACGGACAACATCAAATGCAATCCTTACCATGTGGAGTTTGTTACATTAATGATCACATTATCGGGAAAGATTTGGCTGACCACATAAAATTTGACAGTTTTGTATTTTTAAATAAAAAAAGATTCGGCTAATTAAATAAAAAATCGTTGCCACGGCCATATCACTCAGTTCTGCAAGCAGTAAGTATTTTTTATTATGATACACAAATACACAGTGCGATAAGAATTTTTTATTAGGATACACAAATACACAGTACGATTACTTCGTCGGAAATAAATAATTGGATCTTTTGTCAAGTTTTTAAGGCTGTTATCGAATAAATTCGAGAGCGTTTCTTTCTTTCTTTTTTAACNTAATGTTAAAGCTAAGTATTTTTAGACATGTTTTTCTTACAAAATACTTTAAGAAAAAATTTAGGTGGCTTCAAACATTTTTCAAGAATAATATATAATATTTTAGATACTTTTTGTATATATTATATAATATTTTAGATTTTTTAGTATGTATATATATAGAGAGAATAAGATTTATCACATATTTCTCCCCCAAAAATATTAAATACATACAGTAAAGTGTTAATAGAAAAAAATGCAGAATTAAATATTGCCTCCAATTTTTGTCTTAATCTCATTTAGAAATAAAATCTCATCAATTAATCTCGATTTGCATTTGTAAATTTTATAAATCTGCATAATCTATGGAATTGTTCTGCGTATGCTAAAATACAACTTGCAAATCTCAAACTCGAGACCTATATACATATAGGGTCGCGCTCCTGTGAGAAAAGTGCTCAGTGACAGAAATAAGAATAAATCACAGGCATTAAATCCGATCATCCAACGGACAAACAAAAACTAATATTCTTATATTCATAAGGGCAATACTGGCATTTCCCAGCCACCACCATCAAATCAGTGGAACCCCACATTCACACCACATACGTCTCTCTCGTTCCTCTCTCTCTCTCTCCCTCTCTCTCTCTCTCTCACACACACACACACACAAACAATACACACAGTTCAGCCCGTCACCGTCAACCTCTCTACCGGCGTTCACCGTCGCCGTCCACGGCCATCCAAACGCGACCATCGCGCCGCTAGCAGCCGTCCAAATGTCCAACCTCTCTACTGCAACTTCGAGAGTTACAAGCAGTTGTCGGACATGGTAATCGAGCATATTTGAGAAATCGACGGTAAAATTTCAAATTGATAAAATTCATATCTCCAACAAGATTTATGGGCAAATTACGAACAGTAATTCGATAGACGAACTGTCGACATCACCGTGGACTCTTGTACCGTTTCCGTTGCCGCTTGCAAGTGTAGAGGGTAATTTTCTTCCCGTCGCGGTTGCCGATCTTCCGTTGTCCACCGTCGAAGAAGAGTTCATCAGCGTCTATTCACGGCGGTTGGTGGTCTTGCCAGCACGAACAACGACCGCTGCCGGAAGAACACGAAATTAATGAACATGTCAAAATCGACGAACACGAAATCAAAACTAAATGAGGATGCGTTGACCGTCGAAGGATTCACCTTTCTCAGCCTGGCGGGGGCGGAGCACTGGCGGCAAGAACGGTGGTTGTGGGCTGAGACGGTGCAGAAATGGTTTTGGGGTTTGGGGGGTTTTAATTTGAAAATTTGATTAATTACAGGGACTGAGATGCAAATTTTGAAATTGTAACTATATTACAATTTTGTTCGGAGGTCGAATCTGCAATTTATCGAAAATTTAATAATATATTAAAAAATTAATAAATGCACCATACAAATATATAAAATGCACATTAATTCATAAGAATAGGCACATTAAATTTGTACCAAGTAGTTCAATTCATTTTCAATTTGGGTTTGGACAAAAAATTCAACATGTTCAAGCTGCACAATAGTGACCAAAACAGTGCACATTAGTATTAGAGGAATTGTACATTATATCTGACAGACTGCACAATAGGGGCCAAAATCGGGCAAACTAAGATTTTCGGACTGAATGTTTATAATTATTCTCATTTCTTTCACTATCTGGATAGTTGGATAGGTGAATACGGTGTATCCAATTATCCAGATTTATTCTCATTTATTTCACTACCTACTATATGAGAATATGATCCCAACTCTTTTATATATTATATATACGATAAAAACTAATGTAAATATTTCGAATAAAGCTATTAAAATATTAAATAATTTTTTATAATATAAAAAAATAAATTATTTATAATAATTATGGTAATTTAGTTAATCGACCGAATAAACATGTATTTTAGTTTGGTTTTAATTTGGTTGGGCAAAAGTTCAAAACGCACATTATGTCTGACACATGCACAATAGTGATAGATATATTGCACATTAGTGTTAGACATATTGCACAATAGGATATAAAACTTGAATGCACATAAAAAATACCACGATTAATAGAATGCGTAATAATTTTAGACGAAATACAATAATGTGTGACTGCACATTATTAATTTTGATATTTTATATATTATCTATTTCAACCAAAATAGATATAAATATAAATAAAAGTATTAAAAAATTAAATTAATTTTTTTATAATATAAATAATAAATCATTTATATTATCTAGGGACATGCGGTTAATTGATCGAATAAACCGATTGCTTCGGTATTTTTCAGTTTGATTTAAGTCTGTTATACTGCACAATAAAGACCAAATTCGTTCACAATAGTGATAGATGAAATACACATTAATGTTATAAAATTTCTAGTCCGAAACTTTATATGTCAGTTTGATTTTAAATTTTAAAATTTCCATTATTACAATTCTATGCCGGCTTTATTTATTTAAATTATTTATCAAGACCTTACATTTATTAAAATTTTAATAATTTGTTATAAAATATTTAAACCAATATTTATTTGTACTATTAAAATTACAAATATTGCAACTTAGGCCCTATCATTAACCAAGTTTTAATACAATAGCCCCAAAATCAATTTCACCCCCAAATCAAAATCAATGGCATAAATCTTCTCTGCAGAACCGAAAAAAAAAAAAAAATCCCGTCCGTCACCTGCCTTCTCCCTTCACCGTCGTCGAATCAATTTGTGCAATTGCCAGAGGTTCTCGGTTCTGCCGCCGAATCGTGTTAGCCAGAACCTGAACATATGAAATCAGTCGGCGACACGCAGAGGGAGATGGACGGCGATGTGACTGGGCGCCGGCGGGTCTGCGTCGCAGCTGTTGCGGGGCTGGCGGTGGCTGGTGTCCGATGGTGGTTGTCGGCGGCGGGGCACGTCGTGGTTGGTAGCGAGATTAATGGTGGTTGGAGGCGGATCCGATAGATGTTGATGTCGGGGCTGGTGGTGGTTGTGGCGGGGCTTGTGGTGGTTGGTTGCGGTGGCAACGGGACCTGGCGGTGGCGAGACTAGTGTAGTTGGCAGTAGATCTGGTACTCGTTAATGACAGTGATGGTGGTTTGGGGTGGGTTGATTCCGGCGTGTCCGGGTGGAGGTGAGGCGGAGGATGGGGCTGGGGATAGCTGGCGGTGCTTGACTGGATGGTAGCGGCGGCAGCGGCGGCGACGATGACGACAACGCTTTGGTGGCAGTAGCGACGGTTTATCGACGGTGATCGGTGGAGTGTGATGGAGCGACTGCGGCTTCATAACCTATGGTATCTCCCCCGTCAATGCCGACGAGCTCTCTCAATGGATCGCCGGCGACAAGCTTTCTCGACGGAGCGACGGAGGTGATGGCGGCTGCGGGATATGGAGGCGGCAACTGGACTTCCGGAGATGATGGCGGCCGCAGGCTCTGGGGTCGGCGACGGGAGAGTCGGCAGTGTTCGAAGTTTTCGGCGGCCTCACATAGATATACGAAGTGGTCGGCGTTTCAGTGTGTGTGTGTGTGTGTGTGTGTGTGTGTGTGTCGTCTATATGCAGAGAGAGAGATAAAGTCACTGTGTTTTTTTTGGTGTGTGAGAGAGACATTAATTAGGGTTGGTGATTTTTAGTGGGTCCCACATTATGAGTTGTATTAATTTATAAAGACTAAAATACCCTTAATAATTGGTCAAATATATACACTTGACCACAATGTGTATGTTAATTTACTATACTACCATTAATGATTGACCACAGTTTGACTTGATCAACACCATTGATATGTTAGATCTAGTGGTGTAGATTTATTCTTATTTCTTTCACTATCTATCATTCTCATTGGATCCTAACTCTCTCTCTCTCTCTCTCTCTCTCTATATATATATATATATATATATATATACAGGGGGCGGATCAAATGCGCCCAACTCTTAAAATGGGACCAGCTCTTAAAATGGGACAGCTCTTAGCAACTACATACAACTAACCTAGCAACTACAGAGAACTAACCTAGCAACTACTAACTTAGCAACTACAGAGAACTAACTTAGCAACTACAGAGAACTAACCTAGCAAGTACAGAGAACTAACCTAGCATCTAGTAAGCTAGCAACTACAGAGAACTAACCTAGCAACTACAAAAAACTAACCTAGCAACTACTGAGAATTAACCTATCAACTACTAACCTAGCAACTACAGAGAACTAACCTAGCAACTACAGACAACTAAACTAGCAACTACATAGAACTAACCTAGAACTACTAACCTAGCAACTACAGAGAACTAACCTAGCAACTAGACTTATCTCGGGCATCTGTTAGCCCGAAGATCGACTTTATTATGTTTTTTTTTTTTGTTTCTTTTTCATTATTCGGTTTTTTCCTTTTTTGTTTTTCTTGTTTTTGGTTTTGATGTTCAGACTATGTAGACCTCTGTATCTGGTTCGTTGACATTTTGGGCTCCCGTTTTTGGGGCCCTGATCTATGCACAGGTTGGGGATCCAGCCCAATCCCCCGCCCTCCCGGGGCGTTGTTGTTTAAAAAAAAAAAATCTAGCAACTTAAGACAACTAACCTAGCAGCATCAAACAACTAGCCTAGCAGTAAGAAAGAAATAACCTAGCAACAAAAGACAACTAACCTAGCAGCAAGAAAGAAATAACCTAGCAACAAAAGACAACTAACCTAGCAGCATCAGACAACTAACCTAGCAGCAAGAAAGAACTAACCTAGCAACAAAAGACAACTAACCTAGCAAGAAAAAAATAACCTAGCAACAAAACTCAACCAACATAGCAGCTACAAATAACTAACCTAGCAACAACAAACAACTAACCTAGCAAGAAAGAAATAACATAACAAAAGACAAATGGTCAACGGTCAACGTCGGAAGTCAAC